CAATCATTTCTTTCCTTAAGCTGGTCTTTTTGTGTGCTGAACACACAGAGCACACTGAGGAAATGAAACTTGTAGCTCATTTACGATAGACATAAATCCACTGATGTGTTCAGATTAATTGTGAAAGGTAGTTTTAAATCCTTAGTGGGAAAAAAAACAGTTAGGATACAAATTTCAGATAATCTTGTAAATCATAATGAGATAGAATTGATGCATGTTATTTTGCTATTCATTTTCATATGATCCATACTTTGCTTACTTCCCAAGCAGATTTAGAGTGGAATTATTTTGACTATTGGAAATAAGCTATTTATAAAACTTAATACCAATTTTCTTTATCTTATGCTCAACTTAATCCTTTAATAAGTATCTGTAAAATTGCTTTTGGATAATCTGTGGAGAATTTTGTTTGTGTTCATGTTTGATCCACATCTTTGAACTTCAGGTATATATCTTAACTAATAAATTCCCCTGGTAAGACCATGTTTTACTGTTAATTTTCAAGACTAGAAGAGATTTTGTGTGATTAATAAGATGTATTATTTGTATACTGCTATCTGAAGAAAGTAGAACTTGAAATAGGGAAATGAGGTTTTATACAATTGAGGTTCTAATGTTTTTTGTTCCTTTTTAAAAAATTTTTTATTGCGAAAATACCGTACAGAGGGGGTTCCTTTTTTTTTTTTTTTTTAATGCTGGTTTGGAGCATGAACTCAGGCCCTGGACACTGTCCTTGAGCTTTTGTGCTCAAAGCTAGTACTATAGCACTTTGAGCCACACAGCTTAATTTCAAGCTTTTTGGTAGGTAAATGGAGGTAAGAGTCTCACAGACTTTCCTGCCTGGGCTGTATCCAGAGGTTCCTGCCTAAACCTCAGTCCGCAGACCTCAGCCTCAGCCTCCTGGATAGCTAGGATTAAGGGCCTGAGCCACTGACACCGAGCAGTCCATTAGTTTTAAAAATGAAGATGTTACCAGGTGCCCATGGCTCATGCCTATAATCCTAACTACTCAGAAGACTGAGAATCTGAGCCATCCCAAGCAGGAAAATCTGTGAGACTCATGGGCCTGTGACTTAAATAGTAGAGTACTAATCTTAAGCAACAAAAGTTTAGGGACAGCACCCGGTCCCTGAGTTTAAGCCCCAGGATCAGCACCAAAAAAAAAAAAAAAAAAAAGGACCTGATAATTGTTATAACTGAAGGGTATTGGTAAACCATTCAGAAATAATAGTGTTTTCTGTAGAACACTCATTTTACTCAGTTATGAGACCTAGTACTATATAATACCATGAGAGAATCTTGGGTCTTTATCAATCCCTCAGGATAAGCCTGGGAGAGATTATTGTATTTGGTTGCTGCAGTTTGCTTGCAAGCCATCATTGGCATTTTTCAGTGAACTATCAGCATAAGCCAAAGTAGTCTGCAGTGTGCTAATTTTTTTTTGGGGGGGGTCCGATTATGGGGCCTGAACTCTGGGCCTGGGCACTGCGCTGTCCCTCAGCTCTTCAGCTCAAGGCTAACGCTCTACCACTTGAGCGACAGCACCACTTCCGGCTTTTTTCTTTTTGCTTATGTGGTGCTGAGGAATCAAACCCAGGGCCTCAGGCATGAAAGGCAAGCGCTCTACCACTGAGCCACCTTCCCAGCCCTGTGCTAATATTTTGTAAGCATGAAGTTTAGAACAAAGCTTCTCTAAACCTGGAATAGTGATCTGGTATCATCAGATATTTCTTCAATATCTACTTAGTGGCTTTACTATGCTGAACACATTTTGAGTTTTCCTAACAGCTTTCTGAAGTTTTTCCTCCTTATTCTAATGGAATTGGAAAAATCCTTATGCATAGGTGGGAACAAGAAGCCTCAAAGGCTTCGAGTAATGAGCAATCAATCTGTTTCTGCTTATTCTACACTAAATGATAAATTTTGAGTGAATAGTGTTTTTTTTTAAAAAATTAGCTCTTCATATTATCAAAATATTACTTGCTTTTAGAATACGTAACCATATGATAACATACTTATCAAAAGCTATGTGCTCTCAATATTGTATCTCTGGTGCCCAGCAGAGCATCCAGCATACTGTAGATGGGCAGTCTATATTTGAAGAACGGTTGAAGAACCACTGAATTTTATCTTGATCCTTGGCCCTTTTCTCCACATTGACACAGTATTCCTTTGTCTTTAATGTGCAGATCCCCAGCTACAGAACAACTATGCATGATGTATATTTTCATACATTATTAATGTAAATGTGAAAGCATGTAGATTAGATTTGTCTCTGTGGTCAGGTAGGTCAAATTTTGTGATTACTAAGCCTATGAGAAATTTGCATATGGCGTTTGATCATATGTGAAAATTGTTTAGGAATATCTGGGTTGTGTGTATATGCCCATGTATGCATGCATGTAGAGGAACCAATTCTTTATTTACAGTTGGAGTTGGTGTGTGAGTTTTTTTGTTTGTTTCTTTTTTGTTTTTTGCTAGTTGTGGGGCCTGAACTCTTGGTGTGGGCACTGACCTTCAGCTCTTCAGCTCAAGGCTAGCACTTTACCATTTGAGCCAAACTTTTTCTGCTTATGTGATGCTGAAGAACGGAACCCAGGGCCTCATGCATGCTAGGAAAGCACTCTACCACTGAGCCACCTTCCCAGCCCTGCTGTGTGGTTTTAATTCATTACGTAGACTCCTTTCCCACCTGGGGATAGGAGAGCCTAAGAAAAAAGGAGCCATACTTCTTCCTCTTCATCTCCCTAAGGTCACATTGTTATTGCCATTTGGAAAGAAAGGGGGATCACAGCCAGTATATTAAGCGGTGAGTTTCTGCTGACTTTGTGCACATTTACTGAAAAAGGAACCCTTCAAAATGAGGATTCGTTTTTACTGACCACTGTCAGAGGGCTGTTTATTACTGAAATTTATTTTGACATATAGACATATCAATGATGTTTTAACTGTAGTGTTAACCACATGTCTATTGGAGAGCTTTATGAGAACAGAGACAATAAGTTACTCATAATCCTACCCTACAAATAACTACCATTCTTTTTATATTTCCTTCCAATCTTTTTTGATGGGTTTTTCTGTAATTAAGTAACAACATTTATCATAATCATCTTCCCAAGTAACTTAAAAATTCTTCACAGACATTGATGTTAGTAAGTATTGGATATTCATCAAACAGGTATACTTCACTATTTTAACCTGCCTCTTTAATATTGAGATTTAGGCTGCTTTCAGTCCTTGGCAACCAAATAACATGTTTGAAATTACTTTCTTTGTGCATAAGTTTTTGCCTATCTTTATTATTGTTTTCTGAACTCTCTTTCTATAAATGTTACTGAGCCAAAATGAATAGCCATTTTATAAGGTTCTTAAACATACTGCAGAGTCATTGTCCAGAGAAGTTATATCAATGAAATTCTCTGAGTGTGTGAAGGTAACCCTCTCCTTTTGAAAGGAGAGGAAAATGTACTTGTTGATAAACAAAAAGAATTACAGTAAATTTCCTTTGCGTTTTCAGGCAGATCCTTTACAGTGCCTAGTGTGTGCTAGTGTTTCAACTTTTGGTATGGCCTAGAATGTCATCTTATCTGAATAGTACAGTTGTTCATAGTTACTGTTTCATTATAGCACTTTCCTCCTTTGCAGCAGTCTATTAATAGTTGTGAATTGGATATGAAAGAGAGTCAAAAAGTCCCCTACTTCTTCAAGGAAAGCTGGGTGTCTCTTCTAACATTTCTTTCTTTCTTTTCTTTTTTTTTTGTTAGTCGTGGGGCTTGAACTCTGGGCTTTGGCGCTGGGCTTTGGCTCTGTCCTTTCGCTCTTCGGCTCAAGGCGAGTGCTCTACCACTTGAGCCACAGCGCCACTTCTGGTTTTCTAGTGCTTTATTGGAGATAAGAATCTCACAGACTTTACTGCCCAGGCTGACTTTGAACTGTGATTCTCAGATCTCAGCCTCCTGAGTAGCTAGGATTACAGGCATGAGCCACCGGTGAGCCTGGCTCTAACATTTCTTTAGGTGGCTTTAATCCTCCTACATGCTTTATTTCTCAATGTCAGTTGGTTGGCTTATGTATCCTCTAAGTAAATACAAATGCTTCCTTCATTTGATCACACACAAAAAAGTAGACCCCTTGCTTATAAAGTAAGTTAAAAAAAAAAAAACTAAAGGAAGTAGTAAGTAAAGCATTTAGCTTTCTGAAACAATTCAGATGGGGATAGGAAGTTGGTTTTAAATGGCTTAAAGGGGATTAGGGTTTTAAAGTTGGAGAAGGAGTTTGGTGCTTTGGTTTCGTCGTGCTATTGCTTTTAAAAGATTACTTCTATATTGACAATGATTCTCCCTGGAGTTTAGTCAATTTTAAGACTGTACTGAAAACAAGAGGGCTTCTTTTTGGTTGTTGTTTATACAAAATGATTGCTTAGAGTTAACAGGCTGAATCCTGAAGCCCTCCTTTCTGAACAGTAGTGTGAGGATCTATCACCAGGGAGAATCTAACAGAGGTTGTTTAATGCCCTTAATTGAGATTATCTGAGTTTTGGAGTTAAATTACATTAGGAAAATCTGGGTACAAACAGCTTCTTTGAAAAAGACACATACCTTTAAGAAAAGAGGTTTACAGTTCTTTATACAGCAGTATGAGCCCTTATTAATATATTTGAGTACTGACTGAGCAGTTAATAAAGATAAAAATCTCAAAGATTGGTACAAGTGTTCATGTAATTAGCATAATATATAAAGCATGTTTATTATACATTTTTATACATTTATCATATGAAAATGCCATAAAGTTATTAGAAAAGCAGCTCTGGCAATCTTAGTAAGTTCATAGTGAAACATACATTTGGGTTATGAAGTACAGCTAGTGAACTGTTGAAAGTGGATTTCCTTATTCTGGTTCATCTTAAGAAGCAAGTCATATTAAAATGGCCCAAGAACAGCAGTACTTCATTTATCTATGAGTAATCAAAGTTTATGCAAGATTTTTCTCATCTTCCTCAGCTCCTGGACTTGTTTATGGTCTGGGATTGGTCTACTTACCTAGCTGATTATGGGCAGCCAGCTTCTAAGTACCTTCGTGTGAATCCAAACACAGCCCTTATTCTTTTGGAGAAGTAAGTATATTCTGAAAACTTTTTAAAATAACATTTTGGCAAGTTTTGATTTAGCCACAAGATGAAGAATTAGAATTTTCTACAAAGAGAAATATTTAGATGGACTTCAAAAGCAAATTCCATTTTAATAACCAAAAGGGACTTGTGGGTGATGGTATGTTTTTGTTTGTTTGGTATTGTAGCCTGAATTTTGCAGGTGTAATTGGCCTTCCTGACATGTTCACTGGAGGGTTATAGATGTACCTTAGTGGTAGAGTGCTTGACTACCCAGTGCCAGGCCCTGGGAGTTTTGAAGAAAATGCAAAAAGGAAAAGTTAACTGGAGATAGATACAGAGATACTTCAAAAAATAAGAGAAAACATATCTTGTAAAATATGGTCAGGGTTTGGAGTATTTGCCACCATATCTCCTGGACTCTTTGAAAATAGAATAATGTGAGTTTAAAAAACAACATTGTAAAAACACCTAGCAGATTTCCTGGAGCATCTTGTCCAGCTAAACACAGACTGAGGTGTTGCTTTTTCCTCTCCATCTGTGGTACACATTGTCTTCAATCAGTCATGTTTCATTTTAAGTATTACAATTAAGACTTTCAGCTTGTAAATTAAAATTGTTATTTCCCCAGATTTCAAAAGAGCTGTGTGTGTTTGATTGGAAAGAACATCAGGAACTATTTAAGAGAAATATAATTTTTTTAATGTCACAAAGCACCTCTGAGACAAAAAGATGACTTTGAATTTTCTTTTTTCTTTTTTTTTTTGGGGGGGGGGTCCAGTTGTGGGGCCTGAACTCTGGGCTTGGGCGCTGTCCCTCAGCTCTTCAGCTCAAGGGTAGCACTCTACCACTTGAGCCACAGGGCCACTTCTGGCTTTTTTCTTATGTGGTGCTGAGGAATCGAACCCAGAGCCTCGAGCATGCAAGGCAAGTGCTCTACCACTGAGCCACCTTCCCAACCCTGACTTTGAATTTTCTGTTGCTATTTTCTCCTTTTACCTGGTTTTGCTATAAATGTGATTAATGGAGACCGGATAGGGTATTTTAGCATAGCTTATGGAGTAATAAAGAAAACAATATGATATTTAGAACCTAACATCTTTTAGTTACATACTAATGTGCAAAACCATCACTCTTAATGGAGAAAGTATAAAAGCTGTAATTTTATTAGTACCTATTTGTGTGGGTGTGTGCTGGTACTAGAGATTGAACTCGGGGCTTTGGCTTTTTTGCTTACAGTGGTTAATTGGAGATAGTGGCTCTACAACTTTTCTGGGATGACTTTGAACCTTGATCCTCCAGGTCTTAGCTTCCTGCATTGCTAGGATTATAGGTGTGAGCCATCGGCAACCTGCCTAGTACCAGTTTTTTGAAGAATATTTGTCAGACCTAGGATCATTGTACAATAATCAGAATATGCCAAGGTGGTGTGTTTTACTTGTGACAGCACAGTGTTTAATTTCTATCTAAGCTTCTTTGTTTACATGTGTTTCTAGGATGAAGGATACTAACAAAAAGAACAATATATTTGCCCAGTTCAGGAAGAATGATCGTGACAAACAGAAGCTGATAGAGACAGTGGTGAAACAGCTGAGAAGTTTGGTGAACGGCATGTCTCAGCACACATAGACTTCACATGGCTGGCGCTCAGAAAAAGCAAGGCCATGACTGAGCATCAGTTCCTAACAAGCCCGGCTTCTGATACAGAATTCAAAAGTACAGTAGAGAAAAATCCACTGTGAAGGTCCTAAACAAGAAATAACAAATACCATTTGTATGGATTTTTAAATAATTAAGTGCTATTTTATATATGGAAAACATGACAGTTTTTCAATTTTAGGAAAAAAGGCAGAGCTGTAATATATAAATAAAATTGTATATGAAACTGGTTGCAAATATATTAGAGGAAAAACTTATGTCTCTACTTATAAGTATTTTTTTCTATTTAAACTTGAATGAGCTTCAGTGTACGGTTTTGGAATGCAATCATGTCTGATGTGGGAGTATTTCACTGTCATTTTCGGACTTAACAGCTTTTTGTTTTCGCCTCAGTGTGATTTAAATAAAGTTTTTATTCTGCTGATTCTGAGCAGGAAATATGTACAATTTTAAAGCTTACTAACATCAAACTTAGTAAGGATGTGAATTATTTGTTTTACTTGGGTGGTTTAATTTAGCCTTTCAGAATATGAAGAAAATGTTTTGGATTTTCTAAAGATGTAATGTTGTGTTTACTAGTTACAATTTCTATGTCTTGCTTGTACCCACCCCGCTCTGGCTGAGTTTTGTTCAGGTTAAAGGAGGCTTCCACTTCAGGGGCAGCTTGTCTACGGCAGGTGGCATGTTCTCCTACGCAGGGAGTCGCCACCACAGGCCGGTCAAATGACACACGGCAAAACTGTATCCTCTCTGTGGAAGCAGACCAATTTAGCTAAATTCTGGAATGTACATTTTCCTATGTATGAGTCACCATGATCCAAATGCCCGTGTAAATCTGACCCTTATTTCTCTGCATTGTATTTATGCTGAACACCCACTTTGCATTTTTCAGATTTATACCTGTAAGACTGTACCTGATTCTGTAAAATAAGTGTAAAGAACTATGTTTACTTCTCCTGGTTTCAGGATGAAATATTAAAAGGTTGAGGAAGTTGTTGAAAACTGCATTGTATGCAATCAGAGCTTCTCATTTACAATTTCTTCCTCCAGGAAAGATGTTTTTAATACCCTAATTATTAGATGGGAATGACATCAAAACAAAAAACATTTGTTCTTTTGACCAGCTCATCTCTTAAAAGGTGTTGCATTAAAAAAAAAAACAAAACGCTATTTCTCAAAAAAAAAAAAAATACGGTAACCCATCCGACACAATCAGGACGGAGAGGACCCCTGTCACTCAGCTCTGCCTTTAAAAGCGGAGGAATGTGCCTGACCCTCGTTGCCCTTCCCAGCCCAGGGGGCCTGGGGCTGCCTCCCACCGCCTGGAGCAGACCCGAGTGTCTCTTCTCTACTAAGAATCCACACACTCCACCACCCAGCTTCTTCCAGCACCCTCACACACAGCTCGGGGCCCAGGTCACACGTTAGGGAAGGAGGGTGCTCAGAGCTGAGGCATTTGGAGTCGTCGGAAGGGACAAAGCCTATCTGACTGGGAGAAAGGGAGAGGGGAAAGGAGAAGAATTTCGTTCTTGAGTCCGGAATGGTGGCTCAAGGGTATCGGAGATGTCTGCTGCTTTGGCTCGTCTTTGGAGTCTTTGCAAAGCTTTGGCAGCAACGAACGAAAGTACGGTTTCCTGAAGGAACTCTGCAGTGGCAGATTAGGAGCTGGAGAAGAGCAAAGGAGAGCAGAGCAACCCCAGCCCTTTCCTCTTGGAGTGGCCAAGAGGAGGGAAACTTAAGGCGTGGGGATCCCCGAGAGCCGGAGCCAGCCAGCAGCCGGGGGGCCTTGGTGGAGTCGGGAAGCTCAGGGCGCAAAATCCCAGCTAGCGGGTGCGTGCACAGCTTTCGAGCTTGGCTTGGGGCTGAGCTGCCACGCCCAGCTTCGACCCCCTCCGTGAGCAGCGCTGCCCACCACCTCCCGCCGTCACTCAGCGCTCGTCTCGGCGCTTTAAATATGCATAAGCGCGTCACCCAGTGTGAAGCGGATCGGTCCGCAGGGAGGGAGCCCATACCTATATAACCGTGTCCGGGGCAGGCGGAGAGGCCCGAAGGAGGTGGGGCAGGGGTCTGCAGCCCTGGGGATCGCGGCTCGGGTTGACACCACCACACCGGTGAGTTGCTTCTCTCTTTGCCCTGGCTAGCTGCTTCTACCCTTGGCCCTCTGGGGTCCTGGGAGAAGGAAGGGGATATTTGGCCAGGGAAAAGGTCCTGAGCGAGCCCGCCACGAGGAAGGCTTGTTCCCTAAAGGGTCACTGCAGCCTTCCACTGACAATGTATCTGTCGAGCAGAGAGCTTGTCCGCTCTTCCTCTTGAGGTTAGCCCCGAAGCCTGGGCCCTTTGCTGACGGAACAGGTGAGCTCTGTGCCCTCTCTGAACCCTGTTTCTTGTGTCCTTCCCTCCCCCCACGTTCATTGCGCATCATCCCCCAGAGTCTGGTCATGGTTCCCTGGGGACTGAGCTGCCTGTCGGTGCTGGGGGCGGTGGGCACGGCTCTCCTGTGCGCCGGCCTGCTGCTCAGCTTGGCCCAGTACCTCTGGACCCTCCGCTGGACTCTGAGCCGGGACTCGGCCTCCGCCCTGCCTCTGCCCAAGGGCTCCATGGGCTGGCCTTTCTTCGGGGAGACGCTGCACTGGTTGGTTCAGGTGAGCAGATTGTAAGTCTCCTTTTCCCACAAGGCTTCCACTTGACCTCCATCACTCCCAATGGTCCTGGGGTTCCTAACCAGACCTTTCCAGCGCCCCAGATCAGGGAGTACTACTCACAGCTCGCGCCTTTGCCAGCTACTCTCCACACCAAAAGGTTTCCCCAAAGCAACTTAAACTTTCCCCAAACGACTTGGAGATAGAAGAGGCCTCAGGACGAGATTACTACTTTCCGCCAGCATAGCCAAGAGCCAGGGACGAGTCTCAGCCTCGAGCCCTGGGGCATGCATTCTGAATCTCCAAGTCCTCAACTTACCCTGGTATAGGAATCCTTGCGTTCCCTTGGGTACCAATGAGGCCCATTTGGGACCTTGTTTTGGAAAACAGACCAAAAACAAAAAACAACCAGCCAATCTAGGCAAGGAGTTTCTTATTAAACCACTTCAGAGCCCCTGAGGGCCTCGTTCTCCAAACCTCTCTTCCCCTTGCCTGGCAGGGCTCTCGCTTCCACAGTTCCCGCCGCGAACGTTATGGGCCAGTGTTCAAGACGCACCTGCTGGGCAGGCCGGTGGTCAGGGTGAGCGGCGCGGAGAACGTGCGCACCATCCTGCTGGGCGAGCACCGCCTGGTGCGCAGCCAGTGGCCGCAGAGCACCCACATCCTTCTGGGCTCGCATACGCTGCTAGGTGCTGTCGGTGAGCCGCACCGACGGCGGCGCCAGGTGAGCAGAAAGCCTGAGAAACGCACCTGACAGGGGTCGGGCCTGGGCCGGGAGTTGGGGTACACAGAGAACTCGATAGAGATCCCCGCTGCCCAATCAAATAGCCTTAGGCCAGTCTCTTAACCTCTCTGGTTTTGATCAATAAAGTCCAGGCAGGATCTTCCATAATTGTAATACTGAACTGGAGACTAGAGAATGCTGAGTGAAGACAAGGTGGAGGAGGAAGCATGGGTCCCTGCATGGATGCGGAGGGGGGCGAGGGGAGGGGGCCCTGGACAAAGCAAAACTAGAGGGAACAAGTTGAGGTCGGAGCTGCTTAGAAGAGGAAGAGAGCGGTCTTGGCCGGCCTGCTCCGGAATCACGGCGCCAAGGAGGCCAGCCTGCCCCCAGCTCGGATCCTCGTGCTGGTTCCAGGTCCTGGCGCGAGTGTTCAGCCGCACGGCGCTGGAGCGCTACGTGCCGCGCCTGCAGGGGGCGCTGCGGGGTGAGGTGCGCGCCTGGTGCGCCGCGCGCGGACCCGTCGCGGTGTACGAGGCAGCCAAGGCGCTCACCTTCCGCATGGCCGCGCGCATCCTCCTGGGTCTGCGGCTGGACGAGGCGCGGTGCGCAGAGCTCGCCCGGACCTTCGAGCGGCTGGTGGAGAACCTCTTCTCACTACCCTTGGACGTGCCCTTCAGCGGCCTGCGCAAGGTACCGCCCTAGGCTCCATTCTTGGGGCTCCGTGATGCGAGGGCACATCCCAGGCAGAGTCTGGATGCCCTGGGTGGCACCCCTGGAGTCCACCCAGAATCTCACCCCTAGACGGCCTGGGTGATGGTTGATGGGCACAGGAGGCACAGATTCGGTGGTATCTGGGGCCAGCACACCCTCTCTTGGGGGAGATGTGTTCAAGCTTGCTGAGTTTGGGTCAGCAGGCATCTAGCCAGTCTAGGCCTTTCACGATGCTTGATGGCTGCAGAACAAGTGGGAGAGCACCAGGGCCGCAGTCACAGGCCCAAACAGGGCGCTGAGCAGAAGAGGGTGGCTGATTTCCCCCTGCCCCTGCCCACCCGGATCCAAGACCTCTTCAGGCTTCAGAGAGGACAATGGGCTAAGAGCAGCATCCCTCTTTACCTCTCCCAACACCCTGGGGTTTCCCATTGTGTGAGTTTTCTGGTTTTAGGTGCCTGGATAGAAAGACTAGGTATGCATAGAGGGTCATGTTGTGTGCTTGTCCCCTTGGATACATTTTCTGATTTAATTCTTGCAGCCTGCAAAGTGTTATTACTCCCATTTCACTCATGAAACGGGCTCAGTGAGGTTGAATGACTTAACCAGGGTCATACAGCCGAGTATGGGCAAAGACAGAATTTGAACCCAGTACTTGGGGTACAAAACTCAAGTGTTTCATTTCTGTTCCTCCTGGGAAGAAGGGATGTTTTTGCATTGCTTGCTCCCTAAATGCTGGAAAGGCATCCATTCCTCTTGCCCCTGCCCTTACAGAAAGGAATGCTTAGTGCAATCAATAGTATTCCCAGCAGAACTTTCCTGTTTGCTCTTTCTTCTGAGCCCTAGCTCCTACTACCCAGGGCAGCGGAAAGGACAACAGACTGTTTCTGCCACAGGGCTCAGTGCCCTGCCTGCTCCCCACTCAGATGACACTATCTTGCTGGGAGTGCACTGGTGAATGATCAAGACATGATGTTTGCAGGCAGTAGGCAATTTCCTGACCAATCTAAAAGACTCACATCAGGATCTCGGCAGAGCCAGCATAGACCTGAGGTTTTCTAGGTTGGTGGTCAAGCCTGCCTGGCCCCTGATCTTGTCCCCCATGCCCTCTCTCCCTGTGCATCAGGGCATCAGGGCCAGAGACCAGTTACATCAGCACCTGGAGGAAGCCATCACTGAGAAGCTGCGTGAGGATCAGGCAGCTGAGCCAGGCGATGCCCTCAACCTGATCATTCACAGTGCTAGGGAGCTGGGCCGTGAGCTGTCCATGCAGGAGCTGAAGGTAGGTGGTGGGAAGCTGCTGCTTCTCCCCTTCCCAGGGCACCCCGCCCCTGCTGCACATTCAGAGTTTGAAAGAAGGGCACTCCTCAGGATGAGAAGAAAGAGGAGACCTGGGTTCCAATCATGTAGCCCTGCCTGGTACTTAGACTCCAGAAAAGGAGTAGTGAGGGGGTGGGGGTGAGTCCCAAATGGAAAGCACTCACAGAAAGCAACTCTCATGATTTCTTTCTACCACCTGGCCCTGGAGGGTGGGGCTCAGCCTTAGTTTCTTCTCTTAGAATGGGACTGAAAATTTCCATTTTGACCCTTCCAATTGCATTAGGAGTTCTGAAGAAAAGGAGCAATGGGCTGAATCTTGGGGTGCTGGGTGGCCACAACAGCCCTAGGGGCTGTGAAGGGAAGTGTCAGAGAGAATGGTCTCTCAGCCTTGACTAATCTAGGGGGGACTGACAACACCCCCTTCAGGCCAGGCCTCTTCAAGTGTGGCTAGAGCTTGGGAAGAAGGCCTGATTGGCTGTGGAATGTTGGGTTCCCGGGGGATTCCATCTCAGCTCCCTGTTTTATCCAAGGCAGGTCCAGCAGTTAACCTCCAGCCAGGTCAGTATTCATTGCAAGATACTATCAAGTAGTTAATCAAGTGCCAGATTCTGGGT